GTAAACCCCCCAAAAAGGGGAAAAATATAAATTAAATAGACTTCCTCCCAACCTACCCCATTGACTGGTAAGTTAACTAGATGTACTGTATTTTAGGTTGACTGAAAACACTAAATTATTGATGACAAATTGTAGCTGGTATAAGTAGGAACACATCAAATCTCCCAAGTTCTCATTCTTGTTATCTTTGATTCAGAGAAAAGGTTCAATACAAAAATACTAAAATTCTTATTTGTGCAATCATTTAAACAACTAGAAGTAACAATTGAATAACCACAGAAGGTACACTTGATACACTCAAAGTATTTAAATTTTGTAGGCATCTATATGCGTTTGTTTGATGAATTAAATAACAGGATTTTATTTAAAATTTGGAATTTAGTCTAATTTAACTTTGTCTTTAGTTCTATGGGTTAGATTGCTAGTTGACATATATTTCAACTCATGTCATTATCCTCAATGTGTTCAATGTGTGGTTAGGAGATGAATAGTGAGAAGGATTCAAAAAGGAATGTCCAACCAAGAAGAGTCCCGAAGTAGAGATTAAGAAGAAATCATCGGAATTTGATTTAAATTTCCCGGCGGCTCATGATTTTGATTTAGATGAATTCCCCAATTTAAAAGAGGCCTTAAATTTGCCGACGACTCTTGACTGTGATTTGAATAAATACCCCTATGCAAAAGATGAATCAATACCTTCGAAGAAAAGGAAAGAAAAAGATGTCTCTATGGGATGTTGAAAATTTATTTACCCCAAATGGTATTAAGAGTTGTTATTGTAACATATGTTTGTGTTAAAAAACAATAAGTTGGTCGTTAAATTCTAGAATATCTTTACCTCAGAAACACCTAAAACAAAGTTCAATGACACAAGACCTCACAAGAGAGGGAATCAATACAAATTACAATGTTAATATATATCTAGTGATTGGTGAGCATATGCCAACCTCAAATACCATTGCGCTGTGACAAAATCCATACTACACTCAGCAAAAAACATATTCACCATGGAACATCTCTCATCCACTTAATTAACCAATTTCAAGATGATGTTAAAACTAGATAAAATAGCTAATATATGAGCTTAAATTTGCAATAAAGAGAAGAAAAAATAAAGCTCGGAAGAAAAGTAGTGGTAATGGTGATGATGGAAATCATGTGGAGAAGAATCCTACGATGATTTGGACTAATGAACTGCATGAGAAGCTTTTGACTGGTGTGGGTAACATACTCCCTACCTACAAAGCGATGCCAAAGAAAATATGTGAATACATGAACATTCTAGGATTGACAATGGAGTTGGAAGTAGAAACTCCAAATTCTACAAGTGGAAGGTCTTACACCCTAAGATTTGTTAAGAAGGACTACATCTATGTGACAACTAAAAAGATTTACGAACCAAAAAGAAGAATTCCACAGTTGGAAAAGAGCGACATGAAACTCCGACAGGTCAAAAAAAAATTACAAAACATCAAGGTAACCAATTTCAATTGAAAGGTTCCCATTATAGTTTATTTAGCCATATAAACAAACACATGCTATGCAAACCAAATAAGTACTTTACTGGTTAGCTCTGTCATACAAATAATGGTGCTTCGGGAAAAAAGCCATTCATTACACTAAACAACGCACAAAGTAGATTAACTACACCCAATTTATATGCTTTCGTGATGGAAGTACTTGCACAAACAAAGAAGTGCAGCAATTAAAGAAGTGATTGATTACTCCACCGTTATTTAGACAGGCCGGTCCAAACAACTTGGGGTCCTAGTGCAAATAAGTAGAAAAAGGCCCTAACAAATTTAATGTAGTTTGTTTTTTGAATATGGGTTTGAATAATTTAATTAACACGACCGCAAAATGTTATTTAATCACTTAAAACTCACTTTGCTTTTGATATAAAATAAATTTTTAGCCCATACACTTTTCTTTTTTATATAAAATAAAATTTGGACCCATATATTAAATATGATTGGAAACCCTTAGAGAATTCTAGGATAGCTGGTTTTTATAAAACTGAAATTGGACTGAAAAGTTGTTGATGATCCCTATGGTATTTGAGGTGTACTGATTATTCATTTCTTTGTTTCATTGCATCTTTTTATGTAAGAATTATGTGAGACAAAATTAGTTAGGCAGTGCACGTGAGAAATAAGGATAGCCGATGGTGTTGGCTATGGTTAAACATTAAGACTATTTGTCTTAAATTTAAGTTAGAGAACTCTATGAACCTTATGCTTTGTTGTCATGTATTGTTCTTCGTTGTTAGGGAGTGTATTTGAATATTTATGGATGATTTATTTGTGTTGTGGAAGTGCAAAGATGTAAAGTGAAACCAAGGGAAGCGCGTGAAAATTTAGATTTGACTTGCAAAAAAATCAGATTTGGTGTGTTCTGTTGTGAGACCTTTTTCTCTTAGCTAGCTAATCATTTTCAAGGATTTCTTTTTATGAATATCACCTTCATTTGTTGTAGTTTATCGCTGTTTTTACGGATTTCAAAACGGAGTTGTGGATTGTCCAAAAACTTGATTTGAACAGGACATGTCTAAACTGAAAAGGATCCTTTCAGTTGTTTTCTCAGGTTTATTTGCATAAGTTTCTTCTATATTTGATGAGGTTTATTTCAGTTTCAGGCTCATAAAAAAAAAGTTATAGTTTCTATAGAATTTGAGTTTAAATATTACCAATTGGAGTTTTCTAAAAATTTGGTACATTTTCATTGTTGGAATTGTATACATTCCGTGGTTAATTAACAGTAAGGTTTATTCATTAACTTCATGTTGCTTATTCATTTTATTTGACCGTGCTGTATATAAACTAATTAACATATGCTGTATAAACTGGCCTAATGGAATGTATAAAGTTGTAATTTTTGCATGATGTTTGGTTGTTTGTCAAAAAACAAGGAAAAAAAAAGGTTATCCAGATTCGTGTTTGGTTGATTAGCCTTAAAAGAGTCACGACCTCATGGGTTTTGGCTGGTGAGTATATGTAATTATAGTCTGAAAAGATGGGTTTTGGCTGGTGAGTATATATAATTATAGTCTGAAAAGATTTCAACAGATTAAAAATACCATTGTTGTTGTTTGTTTGTCCTTACATATTGTTGTTACGGCCATTGTTTTGTTGAATTAGCTTGGCATATTTTGAGATTGAAAATGAAAGTCATTTCTTCTTTGCGGGTGGCTAGATTAAATAAGAAAAACTTAGTAGATGGCCTTTCCAATAAAGTGCATTTTACTAGCTCTTTCATCACTTTTCAGTTTCAGAACGTTTTGAACAACATTTTGTTTATAGAATGCATAAAGTTTATAAATACACGTGGTTTCTTGTTAAATTTCAAGTTTCTACAATGTATGCCTGTGTCTTTGTGTGATTTTCTCCCTGGTGATTGACACAAGAACCCAAGGGATTTAAAATTGAGGTTCTTAGGGAAATAAATTGAAGGTTTAAAGTAATTCTATGTGATGGTTAAATGAATTTATTGTATGTCTGGTATTGGTATTGGCTTTGATTTCAGTTTTAGTGAAAAAAGAATGAGGGGAAGCCTCACTCTTTCTAGTGACTGATTCCTATTTTTAAATTGTATGCTTAATTTTGTTTCTTGTCAATTAGTAAATGTAAATGAATAAAAGAAAATTTAGCACATAGAGCTCCTATAAATACATTTTATTTTCTACAATTTAACACCGAAATGAAGATTCTGTTTTGCTACATGTCAACAATTGCATATCTTTTTGGCATTTTTTCATTCCTTTTCTCATTGTTGCTGAAACTTTTTTAAATTCATTGTTCCTTTTGTCTTTGTCTTAATTCATTGTTTAAGTCTATGAAGTTTTGAATTGCATCAAATGTTAGGTAAAGGATAAAATGTGTGGCACATATGTTTTCAATTAACCATAAATTTCTTTGACAGCACCGAATATTTTATTATTCCTCTGACAGCATGATAAACCAGCACATCAGTATGCAAGTTTTTATATTATTTATTTGCTTCAAACCACTTTCCATCTCATCACCAAAGTTTGTAACCCATACAGCCCACTTTTCATCCACGTATACCACCCATCACAACACATCTCTTACTACAGTGCCACATTTTTATCCACCTATAACCCTACATCTCTTAAATTGCCACTTCACTCTTTCAAAAAACTGTCACGTTATTATTTCCAACCACCTACAACTCTCCTATTCTGCCAACAACACACAAATCATTTCACCTTTTCCACAACATCATCTTTAAATACTACCAAATATCACAATTATATAGCAACTTCAAACACACAAAATGGCCACCCCCGAAAAATGCACATGTGTTCACTGCGGTCAATGCACGTACAACTATTGGTTTGAAAAAGAAGTAGATGAACTACTAAAGAGACTCCTTTGCCATCCTATATGGAAATACGCTCTCAAAACTGCACTGAAGATGGACTGGAGCCTTTCACTGCTGTTAGAAAGAAGCACAATCCTTGAAGCTGAATTAAACACTCCTTTATATCCTATGTAATCCTATATATATAAAAATTATCCTTTGTTTCTCTTTTCTTGAAAAATTTGTGTACGAAACATTGTAAAATACGTTTTTTCACTTTTTGTAATTTAGTTCTCACATAAAACATTATCATCAATATATGTAACATATAATTTTGTACAGTTTTCACGCTTTTTACAGTTATAATTTCCGTACAAATATCATAAACATACAATATGATTGATTAACAAACACTTTAGCATACAAACTTCTTCAACGTCTTGGCTCCAAACCACCCAGCCGCACCTCGTGCGGCCTCCCCCGCTAGTGCAATATATGTTGTTAGTGTGGATACACCACCTTTTAAAAAAAGTCCATTCCATTAAATTCAAATCTAGTACCTGTCCCATTTCAGGGAGAGAAAAGAAAAAAAGAAATATAGTACCCGTCTTTTTCATTTGTTTCCTCAATCAGCATGAAGCGACAATTTCGATACAAAATTAACATTCTAATGCATCAATTACGATTTCAATTTCACCTCAATGCCAATTCATCAAGATTAGATACATCTAGATCCAACCACAAACATTGCTCTTCTGAGTGCTACTCATCTACTGAATTTGAAGAAGTTTTAGTTTTAAACATGCATGCGATCTACTAAGTTTTAAAGAAAAAAAGAAAACAAAAGCGTAAAAGAATATGTACGGCCAGGCAACCAGCCTTACAAAAGATCCATCAACATAAGGGCATGAATCAAGTATATTGGCAATATTCTAAAACAAGTTTCTAGAGTAAGTTCTTTTGATTGTAAGGTTTCCAATCAAAGAACAAGAGAATGTGATGATTCTCCAGAAGCACGTGGAGGAAATGCAATAATCTTTTCCAAAACAACTCCATGCTTTTTCAAGCGGTTTGCAAGGTACTTTTCATTTTTGGTTCCACCATAAGCCTTCATCTTGACTAGCTTAAGTCTAGGCATGTTGAAAACTATCGAACTCACTTCTGTATTTCCCTCTAGACCTCCCTAAAAATTGGATAAAATTACCAATGTCAGCAGCATTGATTAGATTGGGTGACACATGCTAATCCATAAGTGTTTATGAGAATTTAAACTGTAAATAAATGCTCAAAGATGTACTCACATCATGATCCGACTCATATAGGTACACGAGGACAAGAGTTTCCAGCTGTGGACACGCCTTAAGTGCAATATCCAGACCAAGAACATCATAACTTTCGTACCCAGTGAATAGCTGTAAGTAATTGAGATTGTTGAATGCATAAGTTTTGGAGAAAACATCCTCTCCGATCTTAAGCTACAGAAAAAAAGATCAAATGTGAAACAATTTCTCCAACTGAGATTTAGAACAATGTAACACCACCAAGGAAAATACTATCTATGTTTTATGCCCAAAATGTAGATCCCAATTCAAATCAAAATTTCATTGTACTTCTGGTTTTAAAATTAATTTTCATACATTTTTCCTTCCGCACGTGACAAGGTGTCAACAACCGGCAACGGTGATAAGTTTTTAATGAGGATTTTTCCATTTCTAATAAAAAATTACTCCCTCAGTCCTAAAAAAGTAGTCCACATCGAGTTTTGAGATATGTACTAAAAACTGTACAAATCTTAAAACTCGATGTGGACTATTTTTTGGAAATAAAGGGAGTAATATATGATAAGTGAAAGCAAAAGAAAAATGTTGTTTATGTAGGCAGCAATGACTTTACTCAGAATACAAGAGTCTCTACATGTCTTGAAATTCCAATCAAATTCTAGAGGAACAATATGTTCCTTTTTCTTCACTGTAAAAGCAAAAACAGAAAAGCAACACTGTTTTTTAAAAAATTCCAATATCCTCATTTTCAAATAAACTAGAGGCATGAGAAGCTGCTGAAACATGTGAGGGGACATCAAATGCTCCCCAGAATCCTCCACATATCATTCTTTTTATGTCATAAATCACATAATGAAGTAATAAATTACCCGCTTCAATCAGAGCGGAAACCAATTAAAAAATATCCCCACACATTAAAAACTACGCAAAATTACTTCTTTAAGAAAATATTAGGATCTGTAGCAGTGGTTCCAGAAACGCCCTGTAACCCTTCAAGTCCTACAAACACATCATTAAAACAAAAAAAGTCATGTTCATTACCTCTTTATAACACCGTTCACTCATTATAGATCGGTCAAAGCGACTTTGAGGCTTCTGCGTATAATAAGAAAATAACATCAGGAAACTCAACTACAAAAGAAAAGATCCCGTAAAAGTTGCACTCTTAACCTCACTAAGAACATCAATGCTGCGTATTTTAAAACTTCTCACTACTTAAAGAGTTCTGTTGACTGACCAAATACCCTACTTATAGTAGCAAATATACAGCTAAAGGAAACAACTGCTAGATAAACATATATTGCCTGTATTACCCCAAATCTTCAAAAACTAAAGGCCCAGTTTTGATCAGTAACTTTCAATAGAAACAATAAGGAATAGATGAAATTCGCTTCCTTCATATAAACAAACTCTTCATTCTGGTCGAAGAAGGCCCAATTACACAAGTTGTCAAAAATTTCAAAATGCTAAAAGCAACTTCGCCAATTATCAGTAATGTCAAAGCATGAGCTCACTAGATTCAAATAAAGAATACTGGAAAAGCTAAAAATATACTAATAAATAAGAACATACCAGAGAGAAATACCACATGTTATCGGTGGTTAATCGTGTGACCCCAGTTACAAAACTTACTACTTTAGTCCAGAAGGTGAAGGCCTTCCAAGATCTTTCCCAAAAGCACACATGAGCTTGGACCAAAGATGATGTACCATCCAATACATACCTGTTTGCGTAAGTATAATCGAATTTTACAGATTCCAAACTTGGTGCACATATCTCAAGTGAACTTTCTCCAGTGTAGAAATCATCATTGAAGGTATCTAACTTCAGATGCTTGAGGTTTGGGGATGCTATTTTCAAATTGTGAAAACCCGACACATTCTCAATGGATAGAACCTCAAGATTACCGCATACTGCCATCATATTCTCAATATCTTCGTCTGTAGTACAAAACTCCTGTAGACATAATTTCCTGAGAGAATTAATCTTCATAGACAATAACTCCTTTCCAGGGACAACGACATTACAACCACACAGCCTTAGAGTCTTAACGGAGCTATTCTTAAGTTCAGAAACATCAAAAGAATAACGATCAGGATTAAGGAAACCTTCATCTACATCTTCAACCTCACTTGAACTCCCCTGCCTAAAAGATGGACTGTAACCAAAGGTAATAAAATTGAAATCGAGCTCCGTCCCTTGACAACTAATGACGTACCGAAGGCAGAAATCAACGAAGGACCTCATGGAATCACAATCCTTAAATAAGAATTGCAGTTTGAAGTTCTCAATCGGGAGATGCCTCGGGCGGTAGAGGAGCGCTTGGCTAACAAATTCAGCAAACAGCTGGCGAGCGTCCCGGTTAGGTTTCTCTGGAATATGGGAATGGAACTCTTCTAGGTCGAAATTGAGTTTGAGAAGGGAGCGCCAGAGGTTGCGCCAGTCGCGTGCGACGGCGGTGGTCTTGATGGCGGTGGTTATCGGGAGGAAAGATAGGATGTGGAGGAGGATGCTCTCGGGGAGATCGGTTATTGAAGTTGTGGAAGACTCCGATTCCATTGATAAGGAATCATTCTTTCGGTGATTTTCTTCAGTTCGTTGTCTTCGGTCGTCGATCGCCATGGCTTTACCGGAAATTGGAGGTGTAGCCGGAAACAGGAAAAGCCTCTCCGCGGTGGTTTCGTTCTGATGCCCGAAGCCAAAAAATAATACAATAAGCTATTTATTTTTGCCCCCTAAAACTAATTGATTTTTATTTAACTCATTCTTGTATGCATATGTAGGGAATCCAAATATCAAATTTCATTAATATTTTGTTATGGAAACAAAATTTCATTAATTAAATTTCCTCTAGAAGCCATTTAGAGTCTAACTGTCTCACTCACAGTGTTATGACTCCTTTTTGGGTTAATTACATTGGCTTTCTCAAAAATCAAGTGCATTTTTCCTTTAGACTTCCAACTATAAAACTAAAGCAAAGGCATCATTGTTACAATTCAAACTACTAGAATGATGACGATAAACTATATAAATTGTCACGAACAATAACATTAATATTGAAGAAACTTTATTTCATTCATTATTCCTATCTCATACATCATCTAGAATGTGACATTGACAATTTATATGGTGAACCCTGTGTACCATATATGGTACACTTGTCTAATTAATACAATTTAATTATGGAATGAAAAATTAAGAAAAATTTATTAAATTAATTCATTCTCTTTCATTATTTAATTTCTCATATCATGCTTTCAAATATAACATAAACAATATTCTAATAATTTTGTAACTCTTTCTTCTATTCATAATTACTGACTCTTTCCTCTTTTCATAATTATTGACGTAGTTTGAAAATTAGGAACAATTTAAATTTAATAAAAATCATGAAATTTTGATATATATGTCATGAAAAATATTACTATAACTCATGAATTTTTAGAATGGGTATGAACTATAAATATAAGGATTTTTAAATATTTAATTAATATTTTTATGTTCTTTGTATGAAAATTTATATAATTCTCATGAACATTATTTTATATGGATACGAATATCGACTACTTATTTGTATTAGTCTTTCAATTCTCTAAAAAAAATTGTGAAATTTGGATACACATGATATAATATGAAAAGTATCATTGTTATTCATGAGTATTTGATGAAAAGAGTATGAACATTTATTGTACATATGATCAATCTTTTGAAATTTCTCTAATTTGTATGAACATTTAGCATAATCTTATGAATATTCATAGTTGTATGTATGAATAGAAGATTAAAAATATTACAACCTTTAATTTATAATTATGTGTACAATTTTTAATTAAAAGATATGGATTTTTTTATATATTTGATATGAAAAATATACTTATGATTCATGAATTTTACATTGTATGATTATGAACCTTCAGTTTTTTGTATGAATAGAAGTGTATTAATGATAAATATTTCTTCCTTTGTGAATTTTTTTTTCTTCTAATCACGTAATTGTATTAATGATATATGATATTAAATATGGAAAGAGGATTGTCTAATTTAATAGGAGATATATTTTAATTAATAATTTATTCCTTCAAAAACTTTTATTAATTAGACCAGTGTACCATATATGGTGAACCATGTGCACGATATAAGAACTCATGACAATGAGCTACATGAAAATTTACTACTCCATCCGTCCCAAAATTATTGTCCAGTTTTACTTAAATACAAAATTTTATTTTTAGTCAAACTCAACCAAATTTTGTCATAAGTTTCCACATATGCCCCTACATCCAAAATAGATTTCGCCGGCCAAAGAAATTGGGTTTCTTCACTTTAACTCCAAAATCCAAAGACCAGATTCAAACGCAAGAATCACCTTCAATAATTCAATCAGAAGCTTATATTTGAAACCAATTTGTAGATGAAGAAATTCAAATTGGTGTTTATATGAATACAATACTTCTACTTCGCCGGATCATCTCTCTCCGGCGTAGATCGAACAGAGTTCAACCGTAAGCCATCGCCTGTGCCAATCAAATCCAAATTTCTGGATGAATCGATCGATTGCAATGATTCATATGAATTAGAGTAAGATGTTTCAGATGAATAGAAATCATAATATATACCTTAGATCCTCAGCCGAATCAACATATTTAAAGTGCCCCCATGAAATTCTAATCATCGCTCTACCACTGCCTAAACCTTAACTTCCCCACCAAGCGGACGGTAAATTGATATTCATTTGTACAAATAATTTCATGATAATTAGTCTATCCTCTTGTATTCTATCTCTCATGAAATGATTATTCATTTTGAATTTTATTTTTAATAAAAACTATACTGAAAATAAAAATATAAATTAGTTAGACAATCATTTTAGGTCAAATAGAATTTTCCCAATTACTACTCTTTCCTTTCCACTTTGTTTAGAGCTAGGTATTATCTATGTATCGTTCCAATTTTATTGATGTCCCCAGACCCCAATTAAGTATTGTTTCCAAGAACACTAATGTTTCTTCCGGCGAATATGTGGTATAAAGATTAGCCATTGCCTTGTGTTTCACATCTCACAATTTTTTCTTTTTGTTATAGATGAACAACATTATGTATACAAAGAGTGATTGTTGAATTCCCTATCGATCTTCTTTTCAACACTTCTTCTTTTCTACACTTCTTCCATTGACAAGATTATTCATTTCTCCGCATCCTATATAACTTCCTTGTCAGGTCTTGATTAATAATAGCTCTTTCCATCCAGTGTTTGAATTTCCATTATTTTCAATAAATGCCTTTTCCAGATGAATGATGAATTCACTAATTCAATTCTGCATACAATTGGAGCTGCCCATCATGGATCGCTTTGTTAGTTTGATTCTTCCCGTACGTTGTTGTTAATCAAGTTCTTTTTTTTCAGACCTGAAGTGAAGAACCTTTCATTGGACATAGGGGGAACTAGTGACGTATTTTTCTAAGAACCAAACTTATGTTAAATCATTCTCCCCACATTACCTAATTTAATGTGCTTCTTTTGTACTCCCTCCATCCTAAAATAAATGGTCTACTTGGTTGAACTAAAACGTATTAACGAAGTGGACTAACAATCCATTGGAAGAATGAGCTGCTTACCTCTTTAAGATGAATTGCAGCCTTTTCAAAATCGCTGAATGCTACTCGAAATCGCTGAATTGCAGCCTTTTCAAAATCGATGAATTGGAAGAATGGATTCTAGAAGTTCTAGTTTGACAAAGGTTTAGTGATATGTTAACGGGGAAAAAATGGAAAAAACCAAAAACAACAATGCATCCAGCCTTTCACAAACCATATTTGTTCACTTCGGGAGATGATATATATTTACAACCTTACAATCTAAGAACCTTAACCGATTGAGCTAAAGATAAGGCTAGAGATATGGAAATAATAACGATAGACAGAAAATAAATCTTCATATCCATCGGGCTTTTTCCCAAAAAAAATTAAATAAAATAAACGTGGACAAATTTAAATTTTTTAGAATATTTGTGGACAGAATTATATTACTCGGATTTCTGAAATCCGAGTTTCGATTAAAATTAGAGATTCGGATTTTGCAAATCCGGATTTATACTTAATAATAAAATAATAATTTCATAAATTTTGTTGAATAATAGTTTTTTTTTAAATTCTTAAATGAACAGTTAAGCTCGGATTTGTAGAATCCGAGTTTAGTTAAAAATTAATAAATCGTGGCACGAAATTTTTGAATCCAAAAAACTGGAAGTCCGAAATCCGGTTTTACGAATTCGGATTTTAGAAATCCGGCTGCCTTTAATTTTGGTTGGTGGAAGTAGGCATGTGCTTTAAATTGGAGGACCAAAAAATTAATAAAATAATCCTCAATTGACTAAATCCAGATTTATGAAATCCGAATCTAACGTAGTTCGGATTTCAAAAATCCGAGTTACTTACGGACTCGGATTTCGTAAATCCGAGTTTAACGTGCTATAAAAGAAAAAAAATTTCAGGCAGTTTTCATTCGAGAACTGAGTTGGATTTTCTGTTTTTGCAGCTCAAACAAGGGCGAATTGAAGTTTTTGATGCATTTTTGCCTCTAGATACGTGGAAATCGTTATTTGAAAGAGGTTAGATTGCAAAACCATGTTATTTAGTTTATTTTTGTGTTATTTTGATTGTTAGAATGATGTATGATAGATTAGGGTTTATGTTGGTTGGTTGTTTGGATATTTTAGGTGTTGATTTTGAGGTTAGAGATGAGAAATCATAGTTGTTCATGAGATATCGAAGTTGATTTATAAGTATTTTAGTATGGTGTATTTGTTGGAGTATGTATGGTGTATGGTGTATGGTGTATTTTAGAGAATGTATGGTGTATTTTGTTGATTTTGTTATTAAGAAATGATTAGTTATTGATGTTTTTTTTAACAGTTATCAATGGCACGTAATGTATCATACATGCTTAATTTGTATCATACAAGTAAGTATGTGATAGAGAACGGTAGCATCAACACTTTTCGAATATGCCGGATGATGGTTTGTTTGTCGAAGAAAGGTTGTCATATGAGGGATTGATTAGTAAGATTTGTATGACCCTTGGTTGGGATCCAGACACGTGAAACTCCACCTTTCTTTGATTTTCGATAGTCCCGGTGGTAGGCGTGTAGTGAAGATCAAGAATGATTCGCATGTAGAGTTCATGAACCGTGTAGATCCAATGTCATGTTTGGATTTATACATAGATTTGGAAGATATCACTCAAGAAGAAAGAGAAGCGAGTTTGGAAAACGTGTCATTTGGTGGTTTTCGAAGGGGGGAACGTGCTAGTACTTCTCGAAACCGTGATGAAGAGGAGACACCTTTATTTGCACAAAATGACTACCGGGAAGAGTCGGATTCCGACTACATAGCTCCAAGTGAAAGCGAAGAAGACTGTGATGTCTCCGGAGAGAGTGATTTTGAAGAAAGTGATGATGAAAGGTTGGAAAATGAGGAAAGGGATTGTAATATATTCGCCCGACGCCATGTATATAGTATGATGGGGAACTGGGATGCCTCATGTGTAGACAAGGATGAGTTTGCTCTTAAGATGTGGGATGAGACGCCCAAAGGAATGGACATTGGTGTTTGTTTCAAATCTCAATCAGAAGCAAAGCATGCTGTGAAATTATGGAACATCCATCATAAAAGGGAATATACGGTCGCCGCGAGTAGTCCAAGGACGTGGGTTGTGCGGTGCAGAACATTTAATGTGGAACGTGAGGATGGTGAACCACCATGTGAGTGGAAGATGCG